TCCAGGACTTATGTTAGGACTGCAATATAAAATAAGCAAAACAGTATGCTTGCTCAGCAGGACTCTAAATGATACTTCCCAGGCACTGCATGCACTCAGCCAAGAATTAAATGAAGTCAGAGAAGGACTTCTTGAGAACCACACCGTTATTGACTGTCTACTATTGCTACATCATTTGGGGTGTGAAAAATTTCCTCACATGTGTTGTTTTAACATTACAGTTACTCCTGCAAGGTGTCCCAATTAATAGGGGTCATTTGTGATCAGTTAAATAAGATCAAGATATCCACAGATCTATTTGACAAAATTGGTAATTGGGGATCTTATCGCATGGATATTTATAATAGCTTTATTCATAATTGCTAAAACTTGGAAGCAACCAAGTTTTCATCTACTTCAGTAGGTGAATGGACACATAAACTGTGGTACTCCCATACAATGGGATATCATTCATTACTAAAAAGAAATGAATTATTAAGTCATGAAAAGACACAGAAGAAACTTAAAGTTAATATTACTAAGGTATATTACTGAAGAGGTTACATACTGAATGATTCCAACTATATGGTGTTCTGGATAAGGCAAAACTATAGAGGCAGTAAGATTAGTGGTTGCCAGAGGGTTGGGGGAGTGAGAGATGAATGGGTAGAGAACATAAGGGATTTTTAGGGCAGTGAAATTATTCTGTATGATACTATGTGAGTGAATATATGTCATTATACATTTGTCAAAACCCACAGAAAGTGTAACACAAAGAGTAAACTACAATATAAACTATGGTCTTTGGTTGATAATGATGTGTCAATGTTGACTCATTGATTGTGACAAATAAATGTACTATACTGATTCAGGATGTTGATGATGGGAGAGGTTATATGTGGAGGGAGGAGGGAGGGAAAGTGGGAACTTTCTGCACTTTCTTTTTTTTTTAAAGATTTTATTTATTTATTCACGAGAGACAGAGGGAGAGAGAGAGAGAGAGAAACAGAGGGAGAAGCAGGCTCCCAAGGAGCAGGGAGCCCAATGCGGGACTCAATCCCAGGACCCTGGGATCATGACCTGAGTCGAAGGCAGACGCTTAACCATCTGAGCCACCCAGGCGCCCGCTTTCTGCACTTTCTGTCCAGTTTTGCTCTGAACCTAAAACTGCTCTAAAAATAAAGTGTAGTTATGTATATATAGAGACAAGCCAAGGACTGGGAGATATATGTATCTTTAAAAATTATGCACTTTATATTATAATTATAGTATATTATTTAATATAATTCTTTAAATAAATATTCTTTAAATATTATAAAAAATACATCAATTTAATCTATCATACTAATAGTCCAAGGAAGAAAAAGTCCAGAAAAAACATTTGACAAAATTCAACATCCACTCATGATAAAAACTTTCAGCAAACTGGGAATAGAGAGGAACATCTTTAACGTGATAAGAGGAGTCTGTGAAATCCCTAGAGGTAACATCATATTAAATAGTGAAAGGCTGAACAGTTTCTCCTAAGAAGAATGAGGAAAGGATGTCCACTCTCACCACACATGTTGGACAGTGCTAGAAGTCCTAGCCCATGTACAAAGCAAGGAAAATAAGTAAAAGGCATTCAGGTTGTAAAGAGAAAAAGAAAACTGTCCCAATTTGCAGACAACATACTTGTCTATATAGCAAACCCAAAGGAATCTACAAAAAACTCATGGAACTAAACACGAGTTTAGAAAGGTCACAGGAGGGGTCCTGGGTGGCTCAGTCATTAAGCATCTGCCTTTGGCTCAGGTCAGGATCTCAGGGTCCTGAGTTCGAGCCCCGCATTGGGGGGCTCACCAGGAAGCCTGCTTCTCCCTCTCCCACTCCCCCTGCTTGTGTTCCTTCTCTTGCTTTGTCTCTCTCTGTCACATAAACAAATAAAATCTTAAAAAAAATATAGAAAAGTCACAGGATACTAGGTCAATAGAAAAATATCTAGTTTCTGGCAATTGCCGAATGGCAACTTGAATTTAAAACAATACCATTTATGGTGGCTCCAAAGATTTAAATATTCAGGTATAAATCTACCAAAACATGTACATGAATGCTGCTGTATGCTTAAAACTGCAAATGCTGATACAGAAATCAAAGAAGACCTAAATAAGTGGAGAGGCATTCTGTGTTCACGGATTGGAAAATGCAACATAGTATGATGTCAATTTTGCCTAAATTGATCTATAGATTTAATGAAATTCTAATCAATATCCCAGCAGAATTTTTTGTAGATATAGACAAACTGATTCCAAAATTTATTTTGTAAGGCAGAGGAACTAGATAACTAAAACAATTTTGAAGAAGGAATTGGAGGAATCATTTTAGCCTATTTTAGGATTTACTAGAAAACTACAGATTCTGAGCCAATGTGGTATTGGCAAAGGTACAGACACATAGATTAAATAGAAAGTCCAGAAATAGACTCACACAAATATGGCCAATTGATTTTTTTTTTTTACAAAAGTGCAAGAGCAATTAAATGGAGAAAGAATAGTGTGTTCAAAAACTAGTGTTAGAACAATTGGATATCTATCTGCCAAAAAATAATAATAATAACCCTAACTTAAATCTCATACCTTATACAAAAAATAACTCAAAAATAAAACTATAAAACATTTAGAATAAAACAAAGGAGAAAATATTTGTGACCTAAGGTTAGGCAAAGAGTGATTAGACATGATGCCAAAAGCATGATCCATTTAAAAAAATAGTGAGATAGACTTCACCAAATGTACAACTTTGCTCTGCAAAAGACAATTAAAAGAATGAAAAGACAAACTACAGACTAGGAGAAAATATTTGTAAGTCACATATTCAACAAAAGACTTACATTCAGAATATATAAAGAATTCTCAAAACTCAGTTGTAAAAAAGAAACAACCCAATTTAAAAATGGGCAAAAGACTTGAACAGACACTTCATTGAAGATACACAGATGGCAAATAAACACATCAAAAGATGCTCTACATCATTAGCCATTAGAGAAATGCAAATTAAAACCACAAAGAGAAACCATTACATACCTTTCAGAATGGCTAAAAAAACCAAACAAGCAAAGAACCCTCCCCCCACAAAACCAACCTAAACAAACCAAACCAAAACAAAAAAAACCCCCAAACAACTAATAATACCAAGTGCTGGACATGGCGTAAAGCAACTGGAATACATTGTTGATAGGAAAGCAAAATGAAACAGCTACTCTTGAAAACAGTTTGGTATTTTTGTATAAAGTTAAACACACATATTTACATATAACCCAGAAATCTCAGTTCTGGGTATTTACCCTAGAAATAAATACTTATAGTCACTCAAAAATCTGTACAAGAATGTTTGTGTCAGGTCTGGTCATAATAGCAAAAAAAGAAAAAGAAAAGGAACAACCCAAATGTACTCTGGCATTTGAATAGATAAATGGTGATGGATCATATTTCATAATATGATGGAATACTACTCAGCAACAAAAAGAGCAAATCACTGATAAGTACAATATAGATGAATCTCAAAAACTAGGCTGAGTGAAAAAAGCCAGACACAAAAGAGTACCTAGTGCATAATTCCATTTATTTGCAATTCTAGAAAAAAGCAAAAGTAAATTATAATGACAGAGAGCAGATCAGTAGTTGCTGGGGGATTGACTACAAAAGGGCAAGAGGGAGCTCTTTGAATGATAGAAATATCCTATATCTGGATCGTGGTGGTGGTTACATGGGTATAAACATTTATCAAAATTCAAAGTTGAAATGCTCACATCTTATGACCTAGCCGGCTCACTTTTAGATATAGAGCAATGTTTGTTAAACTGCTGGTAGTGAACCATTATTAGTGAACCATTAAAGCAATCCAGTGTGACTCCTTAGAGGGGTATTTACCCTGAAACTAAAGATGGCTAGGCTTCAGGCTCCCTCACTTGCAAAACTTCTTCCAAGGCCTGGTTACTAATTTTGTATTCATAATTTTGTATTCTTTTTCTAAAGAGGGCCCCCAAATTGTATAAATTTTAGGCAAATTTAGACAAAACCTAGATTGCCTCTGGATGGCCAGATTTTTTTTAAATGAAATGGAATAGAAAATAATGAGAATGTTTTATTAAACATTTATTTCATTTTATACAATGGGTCATGACTTAAAAATTTGTCTTTTGCCAGAGTTTGTGTTTAAGGGGAAAAAAAGAAAGAAAGAAAGTTGGATATTCAGTGTTGTGTGGCGACTATAGACGTATGTGTACATTCAATGCAACACTGTAAAAGTAAATATTTGGAAATAACCTAAATGCCCATCAATACGAGAATAATATAGTGTTATATGTATGTTGTGGAATTCTATATAGTTAAAACGAAGGATCTAAAGGTACATACATCAGGCTAGATGACTCTCATAAACCCACCATTAAGTAGTAAAAAAAAAACAACAAAAAACCACAAGTTAAAGAAGGTTACCTAAAGCCCAATATTTAAAGTTTAAAATCACGTGAGAAGCAATAGTAAGTCTGGTGAATTTTAATGTATTGTTTGCAGATATAGTCATTCTACAGTACAAGTGTTAAAATGTGTATGAAGCTGATAAATTCAGAATAGGATAGTGGTTACTTCTGGGGAGGAAGGAGAGAGGGAAGGAATGATATCAGAACACACAGGGCTTCCTTTTTACATGCAATTTTTATTTTGTTAAATTTAATAAGGCTAGTTGGTAGATGTGTGGGATTTTTGCTGTATTATTCCGAATTTTCTGATTGTGTTATATTCTGTACGCATATTGTTTTGTTGTAAACATTGGTAATAAATATTATTTCATATTTGTGTCGTGTGGGCATTTACACGCATCACACCACTTAATCCTCATGATGACCTTATGCAGTAAGTAGGGCAGTTACTATTATTCCTATTCTACAGTTAAGGAACCCAAAACTGCAGAACAATTTGTTAAAAACGGGATCGGGGACTCTGTTGTTTCTTATTTCGTGGAAATATGATTTGCATGGAAATATGCTGGAGAAGTTTCCTTCAAGTCCAGCCGCTCCCTCCTACCGGAACCTTGGTAAGGCACTTACTCAATGGGAGAATGAATTGTATTAACAATAGCTAAACGTTTGTTCAAAAAGTAGTCATTCGAAAGTACCGGAGGAAACCTCCAATAATGACTTTGTGACGCGGAGGATACATATTTACAAGTCAATTCTTCGGAGGCACAGGCGGGTTTTCTGCTGGCCCCCGCCCCCTGGCTCACTCAGTGACCTTGGACAAATCAGTTAACCTTTCACTATTCACAACCCAGTAAACCGAATGTGTAATATTCCTGACTGCTCACTCAGGGCTCCTGCCAAACACTTTTTTGAAAACCAGGGACCGATTTAAGGTCAATCACAATGCAACAAAGTCAACTTTCCAATGCAAATATTCTCCAAGCCTCTTATTCCCCAAAGACTGTTTTTCCTCTCATTTAAATGGTGATGTCTATTTTAAAGGAGAATGAATTTATACTTTCTAAAGATGAATAACTTTTGTCACTAACTTACGAATGCCTTTTGTTAAAAAATTAAACCGACGCCTAACGAGACAGAATAAAAAGTGATCAATTTCTGTTCTATTGCCCTTCCCGGCTGTAGTGGCTCTCGGAGATTTTTGAAAGCAAGCAGTTTGTTCACCGTAAGGTTTAGAACCTTATATCAACACTGATCATGCTTTGTGAAAATCCTGTAGGTTCTGGGTATCGTGGTGTGGAAGGAGAGAAAAACGGCGCAGAGCGGCTCCAAATCCAGGCAAATAGGGACAGATGAACTAGGAACCGGTGCGTCCAGGCTAGTTCCGACTTTGGCCGCGAGTTGGAGCGGCTGTGGTGTAGGACTTGGGACTGGCCCCGGAGGCTTCTGGCAAGGAACTTGAGCCCCCTCGCGGCCGAACTGCCCGCAGAGGCCCCAGGTCCCTTTAAGGCGCCCTGCGGGCCGACCCGGAGCAGAGGGGGCGGGAGGAGGGCTAGCGAGCGCAAGCCACGTGACTCGGCTGCCAAGTGCGTTCGCGAGTTTGACAGAAGTTTGAATCGGCCTCGGGGGTTTTCTGCAGCCAGAGGGGCAGAGCGGCGGTCCAGACCTCCGCGAGCGCCAGCTGCAGCGCCCGCGCCCCCCGCCCCGCCAGCCTGGAGCCCGCGCCGCCGACGGCCGCCCGCGCTCCCGCACCGCTCGCTGCCCCCACCGCCGGTCAGCAGCCCCCCAGCCCCCCCGCGGTGCCGGCCGCAGCCTCCCCGCCAGGGAGCCGAGCCCCGGCGCTGCGCCCCGGCCCCGCTGTGCCAGCATGTCTTCGACGGAGGGCTCGAGTCGCGCGGCGGACAAGTCGCCGAGCCAGCAGGTAGTCCCCGCGCGCCCCTGGGGCTGTCTTACCACCCCTTCTGCACCTGGGTGTCGGGCCGGACCCTCATTCCGCCCCCTCTCCCGACTGTGAGTGGGAGGAGGACCAGCGCTTTCCCGGGTCCCCCGCCGCCCTGACCCCCGCGCCGGCCCTGTCTCCGCAGGTGGACCGCCTGCTGGTGGGGTTGCGCTGGCGGCGGCTGGAGGAGCCGCTGGGCTTCATCAAAGTTCTCCAGTGGGTGAGTCGATGCTCTAGCCGCGGGCTATTTCGGGAGCCTGGGCTGTGACGCTGACCCGAAGCAATGTGGCCGGAGTGGGGGGGCGGGGAGGTGCTGTGGCCGGCCGTGACGGCAGGGTGGGGGGCGGCGACAGGTGGGCGGGGGAGGGGCGGGCTGGGGCTGCTTCTGCAGCACTTGGTGGCAGGAGGGCGAGGAGCAAGGCATGCGGAGTCCGGGATTCGGTCCTTCTATGTGCAAGGAGCTCTTGCCCAGGGCGCTCACATTTCACCCGGGCGAGAGGACCCGGGTGTAACCTTTCCAGAACTCTGATCCTGCACATACCACTCTTCGGTGGCAGGAGGGGGGAGGAGGACAAGGAGGACGAGGAAAGCCACGGAGGGCAGAGGAGGGAAGGAGGCGGGCGATGGAAACCATCCTGCCCCCCAACCTACCCTCACTAGATCTTGAAGGTGGGCTCCAGGGACAGGGTCCTGGCTGGCAGTTGTCCTGTTGAGGTCACTAGAGTAATCTGGGTTCCTGTGACTGAGTGAAAGGGTGAATGAATGAATGAATGAATGAATGAAGTCTATGATTCTAGGATTAAATAAAAGAAAAAATATTAAGACAATAAAAATCACACTGTGGCCAAAATGTGGCTTGTAGAATAAGATAAAATGCTGAGTAGGGAAGCTGGGGCTCTGGGTTTCAGACATGGACCTGCCTTTTCCAGCTTTGTGACCTTGGGCAAGTCACTTCTTTGGACCTCAGCTTCCAACATTAGTTAACTGTTGATCACACCATTCTCAGAGTCCCCTTCTGCTCTCAACGGGTTGGTATGCCAGAATATTGCCCTTCATTAGACTCACCCCGTGACCTTGAAGAAATCACTTGCTCATAGCCTCAGTTTCCTCTGTAATAGTCTAGGAGAAATACATCTCGTTACCTCACTGGTACTTTGAGATATTGGTATATTTTCTGTCCTTACCAGTGCCCAAGGCCTCCTGAGTGTAAGTTAGGAATGTGGACAGGTGCAGCCACTCTTTCAGATCATGCAAACTTGTTGGGAGCATTTAGTACACTGTAACAGAGGAGATTTAAGTTAGACAATCCACAGACCAAATGGTGTGTGAATAAATTAATGTGCTTTCAGCACAGAATTCAGCTAAGGAATAAGTTACCATTAAGACTGAGGAGGATTGAGTTCTAAAGGACTTCTAAATCCCAGGAGACAAGAATGAGCACTGTGTCACTGATTCCTGAATCATCGTTTGGATGGGAATCATCAGATCTGGAATTCAGGGGCAATAGTGCATTTGGGGTTATCTCCAGATATCTGAGACCTTGACTGGGGCTTATAGGCCAGGCAAGGAGCTCCCAAGTGCAAACTCTGGGACCTGGTGGGGACTTTCCACTGTCCCTACTGCCTCAAGAGCAGTTGGATGGACTGCTGACTGAGCAATTCCACCTCCCCCCCCCTCAACTTCGCTGTTCTGACCCAACACTTGAGTATCATTGGTGGCCATATAAGAATGGTATTAAGGTTCCATGTGACTGCCATCCACAACTAGGGAGCCATTATGAGGAGCAGAACCTGAAACGTAAGAGTATAATTTTATCATTAAACTAGACAAATAGATCTAAGGGAAATTTGAGAAAGACTGTCAAGGGATAAGGAAAACAATGAGGTTATTAGACCATGGAATCATCCTTTGTGGGGGGATTCTGAAAAGCTTCCCTCTTCAATCCTTCTATCCTTTTCTCAATGCCTGCCCCCGCCCCCAATACCACATTTCTATAAAGGCTGCACAAAACAATGCCTAGGAAAATGATCCTGTCTCCTCCCAGGGTCAGCACTGATCCCTAAGAGTTAAGACCCATTTGACTTTTATGATCCTCAACTTCTTAGAGAGAGGGTGATGCCTTTCTCTCATAGTGCTAAATCCAGGGGCCCAAGGCTAGACTCTGAACTCAGCCTTCATGCGAACGGCAGCATCAAAGGGAGACATGATTTGCTTTTACTGCCATCCTGGCAGCCTAGCATGAGTTTCACTTGCCCTGAGTTTCTGCAGGATGAGCTCATGTAAAGGTGCACAGGAACCAGCACCAGAAATGACAGTGAAAATGTCATTTGGGATTTTTACTCATTTCCTGCTTGGGGGCATCAAATGCTCCTGGGCTGGAAAAGGAAAAAAAGAAAACACAGATCTTGCATTTATCCTAATGATGCTTGAAAATTTTGTTGTCATTGTTATCCAAAAGCAATTTTGCTGGAATCCTGAAAAGAAGAAAGCAATATTAGGCTTTTATTAGTTAGGAGCTTGGCTTAGAGTATCTTTTTTTAAAATTCAGAAATTAATCTCACCTCAGTTCCAATTCTGGAGTCTCACCAAGTCCTCACAGAGCTAGCAAAATAACATGGGTATAGACCAATTATTAAAGAACTGGTTTCCTAAAAAAAGAAAAAAGGCAGATTTTGAGGTTGAGGGGCTTTGGTTTAAATTGAGTCTCCTTCTGCTTTCTAGCCATAGAGTCTAGGGTACTTAGGATAAGTAACAAAATCTTTGTGGGCCTTGGTTTCGTATATGTAATGAGGGTGAGATCTAGCTCATGGGTTCACTGGGAGGATATAGGAGGTGATTTCTCTAAAGCATCGAAGCATTCAGTCCAAGCAGTCCAGGAGATATTCAGTGAGTGTTGGTTCTCCTTTCTCCTATTCCTAAACCTCCCCTTTCCCCTAAATTTCTTCTTTATGCAGCCTGTCAGCTAGACTTCTCCTCTGGTTAGATTAATCAAATGTCACTGCCAAATCCTCGCTTTGAGGGTAAGGCACAAAGGAATCTCCTGGATACTCAGTCACTGTTCCCATAATAAGTCATATTATCATTAACTGGGTGTACCCCTGATCAGTAATTTACCTTTGAGGTGCCAAAGCCACTTACTTGGCTCTGGGGTCTCTGTAATGAAAATAAGCTATTTCAGTTGGCGTGGGGAATACGAAAGAATATCATCAGAGTCCATAAAACTAAGGAGATGACTGTCGGGTAAGAGTAGGGGGAGACCTTGTCTTCCTTGTGCCCCGCACTAACTGGGGATGGGAGTGTTGTCAAAGGATCATCACCATCAAGCAAGCCGGCACCAAACTGGTGAGGTTATTCTGACACCCTTCCCAAAGAGAAGCAGAGACAGGAGGAGGAGGGCGTGGAGAGCAGTCAATGACCATCGCTGTCCCCAGCAATACAGGTCCAAGAGGAGGAAGGCTGGTTGGCATCAGAACTTCAGAGATCCGCACTCTCCCCTCCACTGTCTCAGGGACTCCATCTCTCCTTGGCTCCTGTTCTTTCTGAGCAGTTTGCTCAACTCAGACCCTTGTGTTTGGTGACATGGATGGTTTTAGTTCTTTCCTGCTCTTTACTGTGCCTCAGCCTCCTGGCACATTTAGGGAAGAAGGCAAATCTGATGCCAAAAGGTGGAGGGGGCAGGGTCAGGGTGTCTTTCTCTGCTCCTGCATCCCAGGTGCAGAGCTGCTCCCTGCCTCCTTACAAACTTCACTGAACATAGGAGAGAGCTCTCTCTTTTTTTAGCCTTAATAACTTTGTGATGCAGAATTTTAGTTTGTTTGTTTGAGCATGACACTTTTTTCCTTGATGTAAACTCACAAGAGAAGGTACAAGGTCTTATTCATCTTTGTGCCACCAGCACTTGGCACATAGGGGATGGTCAATAACCGTTTGTTGATTAATGAATGAATGAAGCAGAAAGGGCACTGGACAGGGAATCAGGAGATGTGAATTCCAAGGCTGGCCCTCATGATGGCTAAATATGGCCTTGGGAGAGTCACTTGATCTTTTGGGACTTTAGTTTCCACCTCTGTGAAATGAGACCGTTGGGCTTAATAATCTCAGATCTTTTTTTTTTTTTAAGATTTTATTTTATTTATTTATTTTTAAGATTTTATTTATTTATTTGACAGAGAGACAGTGAGAGAGGGAACACAAGCAGGGGGAGTGGGAGAGGGAGAAGCAGGCTCCCTGCCGAGCAGGGAGCCCGATGCGGGGCTCGATCCCAGGACCCTGGGACCACGACCCGAGGCGAAAACAGACGCTTAATGACTGAGCCAGCCAGGCGCCCCTAAGATTTTATTTATTTATTGGTCAGAGAGAGCGAGAGAGCACAAGCAGGGCGAGAAGCTGGCAGAGGGGGAAGCAGGCTCCCTGCTGAGCAGGGAGCCCAATGTGGGGCTCAGTCCCAGGACCCTGGGATTATGACCTGAGCCGAAGGCAGCTACTTAACCAACTGAGCCACCCAGGCGTCCCTGTATGAGATCTTTTTTGCTCTGCTGTCCTGTGAACCTGTGAGGTTCCCCTCAGATTTTTCCCTTCGTCCACTTACCTAGCAAACTTTATGTTTTCTGACATCGTATGACTGTGATGTTCAGATTTAATTATATATTCTGATTGACAAAGAGCTGTGTAAGGTGGTTAGGGATTCCTGACTTTCAAAGACTCAGAAGAGGAAAGAATACAGCTAGGACTAAAGCTATTTGTGGTATATTTCACTCTTTGAGGAATCATAGAGCAGGGTTCAGGATATTCAGAACTTCAAGGTTATCATCTAGCCATAGCAGAACTTTGGATAGTAATGGTAAAGTTCTCCCATATGGTACCTGCTAGTCACATGTGGCACTTGAAATGTGGCTCGTGTGACTGAGCAACTGAATTTTTAATTTTATTTAATTTGAATGTAAATAGCCACACTTGGCTGGTGGCTACCATGGTGGATAATGCAACTCTAGAGTACGAGTTCCGTGAAGACAGAAATTTTTCTCTTCTGTTCACTACTAAGTGATAGTGCTTAGAACCATGGCCGGTACACAGTAGATGCTCAATAAGTGTCATCTTTCTGTAGATGTGCCTGTCAGGGAAGTGCTGGTGAAGAGAAGGCCCCACAACTGACCATTCATTGCCCCAAGTTAGGAATACCTATTTTCTTAGGGACCTATATAGAGCTACCAGGCAATGGGTAAAAATATATCCAACTGTCTGCCCTTCCTGGAATGTGACACCCTAATTGTGTGTCCAGTTCTGAGGGCCAGAAGCTAGGAGGAATAAAGAAACCTGTAAGAGGCTCACAGAGCTGACAAAAATTCGAGAATTCCCATGAAGAAGAGCTGGAGAAGCGCCATTGTTATGCCAGTGAGGAGGCTTGGAGTATATAAAGGGTAATGATGCAGAGGCTTTGGGCAACTTCTCTTCAGCTCTGTCAACAGGAGCAAACAGGGCTGTACTTCAGCCTCTGTAAATTAAGCCAGATGAGGAGGTTATTCAGGCATTGGGGAGAGTTATGCTCTCTCCTTTCCTGGATGTGTTTTAAAAATGGAGACCATTCTCCTTTGTCTGAACTAAGCCTCCTGGAAACAGAGAGGTGCCCATTATGACCTTTACAGAGGGGTCAGTGGCTCCAGCATGGAGAAAATCTGCCAGGCCAGGCGATGCAAGGCGGGGCAGGGGCACTGGGCACGACCCAGGGGCAGAGCACAGCTGCTGACCAGCCCAGCCAAGGGCACACTGATTGCATTACCCTCATCCAGTGAGAGCAAGGCCTCTTGATGGCCTGCTCCAAACCTGCCCTTGTACAGATGAGAAAACTGAGACTCAGAGAGCAGAGCAATTTATTAGAGTTCACCCAGCTAATGAGTGACCCGGACCAGGGCTAGAACCCAGATTTCTAAACTCCTAACCCAGGTCTGTTTTTACTCCATAACACTACCAAGCATTAGCAAAATCACGTGCACACAACTCTATTCTAAACTCTGGGTGCAAGCCTGGGACGTAGATGAGCTGTCTTCTAGGTGCTTAATGTCCAAGACACCAAGACACAGAGAAACACACAGAAAACGATCATTAACAGAGTAAGCTCTGTGATTACTAAGAATGAGTCCATCATGTACAAGCCTGTACAAGGTAAGTGCACAGGAAATGGGGCCTGAACAGATGAGGTGGGAGGATCAGAGATTCCAGCTTCTCACCTCCTTTTCTAACCAGGGTGTTTCCCCAGAAAGAAATGCGAAAACCATAGGTTGAGGACATTTCATTTCACTTAAGACAGGAGGTTTAGTAAAATGTGATGAAAGGTGAAGGGGAAAACAATTCAAGTGATCTGAAATGCCTCTGGTTCTTAACACTGAGCGATGGCAGCATCAACAGATTACAAAGGGAAACACCACTGGGGAAAGAGTGGAGGCTGATAAGGCAAGTGGAAGCTGCTTTTCTCTGGGCTTGAGCCAGGACTGTCGCTGCAAGGAAAAGGGCCTTTGGGGGAGGAGGAGTTAGGCTGGCAGAGCGTGGGACAGCTCCCTGCTTGGCCCCTCCGAAGGCTTGGCAGAAGTTGTCCCTTCTAGCTACAGCTCCAGTGAGGCAGGAAGCCACTGGAAGGTAGCGACAAGGGAACAAGATTCAATGACAGCTCCAAAGGAGAAATGGAAGGAATTCCAACACATGCCTGATCCCAGTTGGCACAGAGGAATCTATTTCTAGGGTGCCTCTCTCTGGGGGAGGAAATTCAGGTCCAGCTTTATGCTAGATGTTTCCAAAAGCCTGAATTGCTTTGTGTTCGTCACCATCTCAAGGAGGCTACCTGTCACATCCAATGGGGAGATGTGGAAACTATCCATTTGCTCTCTGTATGTCTCCCTCCCAGACACCACGCCAAGTCAACCTCATTCATTTGGCTATTTGGTCTGGCACTCGGGTGCAGTGAACACAGCATCCTGAGGCGGGAAGGCCAAGGGAAGCCATGAGTCCCTGCCCAGGAGGGACTTGATTAAAGGAAATCCTCCCCCACCCCCATAACTGCACCTGCTGAGAGTCAGAAGGTGGTTCTGAGGGGATATACCTTGGCCAGTTGAGGCCTTCTGACTCTCAAAGGGCTTCCCTCTCCCTCAGCTCTTTGCTATTTTCGCCTTTGGGTCCTGCGGCTCCTACAGTGGAGAGACAGGGGCAACAGTTCGCTGCAACAACGAAGCCAAGGATGTGAGCTCCATCATTGTTTTGTTCGGCTATCCCTTCAGGTGAGTGGGAATGGATTCTGACCCCACACAGCCTCTCTCGCTGGTTCGGCAGGACCTGCTTGGACTCTTCCTCCTCCAGAAGCCTAAAGACCTTTTGTTGAGTGCCACTCGGGTTCAAACAGAACTACAAGACTTGGGTCCTTCCTGCCCTTTAGGAATTTCAGACACACTAACCGTAGAAAAATATCAGGGAAACTCAGATAGGTCATTGTTATAATAATGTTCCTGTCCATAGATAATCAATAGCAGGTAACCAAGTTCCTACAGAAAGAACCCATGCAGTTTGGGATGGAGGCTAGTTGGGCAGGTCTCTCTGACCTTCAGAGACCTTCTCCCTGCCTTGAAGGTTAGGGAGCTTGTTAGTACTTAGATCCTAAAGAGTTGATGTGGGGTACCTCAGCTGGTACACTAGAATACAAGGACATATACCTTGACCAGGAGGTAGAAAAGAATACTCTTTCCGGGCTATTTGTCCCAACTGCTCAGAAGAAAACTGGGGACAGGGCTCGCCTTTTCAGATATTTTTAGTACCAACGGCCAAGTTAGGTTAACTATCTCTTGTATATAACAGGGTTTTGTTTTATTTTCTGTCCTTATTTTGTCCCATATGGTCTCATGGGGGAGGGGTGCTAAATAAGGCCTGAGAATGGGCAAGTCCAACCCTAACCTGGCCACTGTGGGCCTGTGCTCTCCGGGGGGCAAAATGAAGCTGATCTCCCTGGTGGTTTGGCTACCAGAAAATAGATGCACTATGTACATTGTGGTTGTGACCTAAAGGGCCCTGGAGATACTAGGAAATACATGGTCACTGTATCTGGGCAAGGTAGATGAGGGTGGGGTAGCGGCTGAATGGGAGGTAGAGTTCGACCAGATTTCTGGGGATGTTTCTGTCTTGACTCCAAGGTTGCCTCCAGAAAGCCCCCTTTCTTGGCTCTGTAAGAGTCCCAGGGTGAGAAGTAGCTCGGGACTACTCCCAGCGCAGGGACAGTCCCCTGCCTCCACCGGGAGGGTATTGCCCCAAGCTCAGGATGACACCCCCCTGCCACCCACAGGTTGAACCGGGTCCAGTATGAGATGCCCCTTTGCGATGAGGACTCCACCTCCAAGACCATGCACCTGATGGGGGATTTCTCTGCTCCCGCCGAGTTCTTTGTGACCCTGGGCATCTTCTCCTTCTTCTACACCATGGCCGCGCTGGTCCTCTACCTGCGCTTCCACAGCCTCTACACAGAGAACAAGCGCTTCTCGCTCGTGGTGAGTGGGCACCGGCCGGGAGGGATGGGGTGGAGAAGCTGAGGAGGTGTGCCTCCTGGGACTGATGTCACATTGAGGGGGGAGGACACCCCGATGTGGAAACTTCTGCGTCTCCCTGCCAGCTCTTTGCTGTTCATCCCCTTCAGGTTCTGTGGTTCCCACAGCTCCAAGGACTCTGCCTCTAGCAAACCCCCATCACCTGCTGTGCTCAGAGAGGGCGGAATAGCATCAAGAAGTGGGCTCTGGAGCCAGACTGCTTGGGTTCAGAGTCCAGGACAGTCCTTTATAGCTGTGTGCTCTTGGACAAGTCACTTAGCCCCTCTAATCCCCAGGTTCCTCAATATACAATGGGGGTAAAAGAATACCTATCTCATAGTGTTTGGGGGAGATGAGTGAAAATACTTGTAAAATATCTGATATATAGTTAGCTTCAATAAGTGTTAGCTATCATTAATATTCTTCCCCCTCTCCCGTCTCCATATCCCAGGCACGCAAGGTGGAAAGGGTGCCTTAGAGGACCCCATTTGTCTCCTGCAGTCTGCCACCAGTGGTAGCTGAGCAATGGTGATCAAAGGAAAGGCTTGAAGGCGAGAGTGGGGAGTTTAGGCCACCTGGGTTTGGGGGTGACAGTGACCAGCAGGTACCTTGATACATTGTTGCTTGACCTCCGTTCTGAGGGCCTGGGCAGGGGTAGCCCTGGGTGGTAGCGTTCCTTTAGTGGCAGTGAACAGATTCCTGAAGATGACCGGGGCTCCCTGAGGCTCCAGGTGTTGGGTAGGACGGCAAGAGGTAGCTGTCCTGGGACCGCAGGATCCCAGGGCATTTTGACCAGAGGAAGAGAAGTAGGCCATCAGGGGGGCCTTTCTGAGTGCATTTCCTGTCCCTCTGCTCCTCCCAGGACTTCTGTGTGACTGTCTCCTTCACCTTCTTTTGGCTGGTAGCTGCAGCCGCCTGGGGCAAGGGCTTGACGGACATCAAGGGGGCCACACGGCCATCCAGCCTGACGGCAGCCATGTCAGTGTGCCATGGAGAGGAAGCGGTGTGCAGTGCTGGGGCCACGCCCTCTATGGGACTGGCCAACATCTCTGTGGTGAGACCTGCGGCCGCTGCTGGTGTCTGGGGGAGGCCGGTCCCAGCTGGCAGGTTCTGAGAGGAACAGAGAGAGGGTGTCTCTCCAGCTGGTATCCCCTGCAACTGGAGCCAGTGACCCCAGCACCTAAGGGTGGCTGCTGGCCCCTGGATGACCCCGAGAAGACATGTTGGTTTTGGGGGGGGGGACCCAAGAGCCACTTAGCCTCCTGTTCTTTCCTCCTTCTGTACTCTGCGCTCCCATTTCCCTTCTCCCCACCTCCAGGCATGCTCTCTGTGACTGCCTCCCACTCCTCCTGCCTCTTGACAATGTGTATGCGAGCGTGTGAAGGGGCGCGCAGGCTGTGTGGCTGGGCTCAAGGCTGGGAGCAGACCCAGAGTGAAAGAGAAGGGCTTCATTGTCACCCAGGCCTCTAAACTGGAAAGGGGCTTTGGGCAAGGGTGGGCCCAGCTGGTACACAGAGGTTTGGCCATCCTGGTTGTTAGAATGTGGAAATCTTTCCATATCAGTTGGCACATAGCTGAGGCTTCAAGCTTTACAAATGCCCCCTGTCACCTTAACCTTGTCCTGAAAATGGCTTAGAACTCCTCAAGGCCCAACAACTGAAGGGGTTTCATCGCTGGCACACCAGGGAGCCTTCTAGACCTTGCTAGAACCCTGCTGATAGGTTTTAGCCCCCAACATTTTATTGTACAAATTTTCACACATACAGTAAAGTTGTAAGAACTTTACAATGAACACCCACACACTCGTCACCTAAACTGTACCGTTAACATTTTCCTAGATGTGGGGCGCCTGGGTGGCTCAGATTGTTAAGCAACTGCCTTCGGCTCAGGTCATGATCCTGGAGTCCTGGGATCGAGTCCCACATCGGGCTCCCTGCTCAGCAGGGAGTCTGCTTCTCCCTCTGACCTTCTTCCCTCTCATGCTCTCTAGCTCTCATTCTCTCTCTCTCAAATAAATAAATAAAATCTTAAAAAATAAATCTGTTAAAAAAAACCATTTTCCTAGACGTGCTTTATCACATATCTGTCTGCCCCTCTTCATCCACCAAACCATCTTATTTTTCATGCATTTCGAAGCCAATTGCAGACATCAGTACAGTCCCCCCCCCAAATACTTCCTGCTGATAGGTTTTTAAGTATCTTTTTAAAAGATTTTATTTATTTATTTGACAGAGAGAGAGCGCGTGAGTGCCCAAGTAGGGGGAGCAGGAGAGGAAGAAGCAGGCTCCCTACTGAGCAGGGAGCCCGATATGGGGCTTGATCCCAGGACGCTGGGATCATGACCTGAGCTGAAGGTAGACGCTTAACTGACTGAGCCACCCAGGCGCCCCTTGAATATTTTTGAATAAATATTTGACTATAGCCCTGGCTGGGTCCCTGGCCCAGGAAAGGAGCACCTTGGACAGCTCTGGTCACACCCACCGTTGAAAAACGGCACTCAGAACAGTGCTGTGGAGAGTGCACTAGAGCCCTTGCTCCTTGCTATGCTTTGCATGGTGCTTCACTCCAGGGGCCAGATTCTCCTAGCGATCAAGCTACAACTCAGGTGCATGCTGTGGACAGTTAGAGACTTTCACCAGAGAACCCGTGGTGGGTATCGGCATTGAACCCTGCCTCTATATCCAGTTCTCTGTATTTTAGTCTTCCCAGCCCTCTGCCTCTTCCCCCACCCACCACAGGGACTCCCCCGCCACTCTCTGTTCCCACAATGCCCTCCTTACTGTTCTCACAAACTTCCCTGATGTCTTTGCAGCTCTTCGGCTTTATCAACTTCTTCCTGTGGGCCGGGAACTGTTGGTTTGTGTTCAAGGAGACCCCGTGGCACGGGCAGGGCCAGGACCAGGGCCAGGACCAGGGCCAGGGCCCTAGCCAGGAGAGCGCAGCTGAGCAGGGAGCAGTGGAGAAGCAGTAAGCAGCCCCCACCTGGCTACTCCCGAACAGGACAGCACCTCTTCAACCACCTCCAGCTTCCAGGACCTCCCTCTTCTTCCTTCTCCAACTCCCCTCCCCTGTCATTCTGGGCTTTGAGCTTTGAGACATCGTCGCTGATGGATGGGCAGGCATCAGCTGTCAGAAACCCGGGCAGCCATCCCAGTGGCTTCCTAGCCCTCCTCTGGCTGGAGCCTCGGATGGCAGGAGCTCAGGGCTTCTTGTCTACTGCCTGGACCCCCAGCATCTTACTTGGGGTCTTACTTATACACTTATAGCCTCTGAGAATGAGCCTCTACTGCAGGGGGCAGGAGACCAGTCTTGAGACTCGTTCCTAGCAGCCACTTCTATCAACGTGTCGCCTTCAATAAAAGTGGGGGGAGGGGAAATTGGCTGGCAGCCTTCTTCCTGGTTCCTTGCATGAAGGGCCCACCAGCGGTTCAGTGACCCCTCTTCAATGGCTGTCATCTAAGCCTGTGTCTGCCCCCATCTCCAGTCAGCCCGCGTTCTCCCACTTTTCCCTCTGGCCTCTGCTCAGCCACACAGCCTACCATGTGGGAACCCAGGAGGCCAATTAGCCTAGAAAACAGCTCTGTAGAGGGTCCTGATGTGGCTGGACTCAGTGGGGAGCAGATATATTGCAACTGGGTTGCAACTTCAAGACCCTGAAGCCAGGAAACTTGCTGGGGAAGCATTTCTTCTGTTCCTTCAGTCCTCCCACCTCTCCAGGCTGGGGCACTTTCTACCAGCACTACACTCGTACTTACCCTAGAAACTCCCGACCTTCCTCCCTGCCCTCCTTCTTGGGCTTAGTCTCACGTATGGGACACAAGATGAGTGGTCTGGGAGCATCTCCATTTCAGCCCTCCCCGCCTCCAACCTCTCCGTCCATCTCCCTTCCCCAGCCTCCTGGGTTTGAGGCATTCAAGATCCTTTTCCATGTCTGTCCAGGCCTTCCTTTCATTCCTGTGGGTCCAGATAGGGACTTTGGAAAGGCCCAAAGGACCATCATGAGGCTAAGTTGTCTCAGAGCCCCAGGACATGGATGGATGGGCCCATTTCTTCCTCATTTCCCCCCAACCCACAACTCCTTCTCTGGCCTCTGTTTCATACTTCCATGACTCACCTTTACAAAAGGACATGCCCTCTCGGTTTGCCCTCGGTTCCTCCCCTGCTTCCTCGTTTCTCCCAGGCTCTATCCCTCCCCACCCGAAACCCAGTCCAGGGCAGGCCAATGCTATTGGTGCTTCTTCACTTTGGGACCCAGTTCCATATTTGTCTTTGATATGTCTCCTCTTCCTGACACCTCCTTCAGTCCCTCTCTGGACCCCAGGGCCTAAGAGTCAGTGCTGACTGGAAAAGGGTCATCCATCTCCTACCCAGTTCAAAGCACTTTAGTCTGACCTGGGCCATGGGGCTGCTCAGAGAAGGATGGAGAAGGAAGAATCCAGCCATTTTCCAATCCAGTGCCAATTAGCCCACTTATCATCCCAAAGGTGAACGTGCCCTGTGCCAATTTCTCCTCAGGACTGAGACAACCCCTCCAACCTTCTCACCTCCCTTAACACCATCCTTAGTAATGTGCACATTACCGGGGTACCCAGAAGACAGGATCTTTGACTTTGGGCCAATGATTTCTTCTTCGGGTCAGAGTTTCCCCGCTTGACAGGGGGAGTGTGAGATTTGCCTCCTCAAATGCTCCAGAACCCTCCAGTGAAAAAATCAGGTTTTTTGTTTTGTTTTTGGATTTGGGGGAAGGGATTTGAGGAGGGAAGAGAGGATATGGGGATGAGAGGGTTTCTAAGTCTGAACCTCTCTCTGTCCTGAACTGTCCCCACGGTTACTCAAGCAAGAGGAGGAACAGTTTTGCCTACAGCTCCAGAGACACAGAGAACAAAGCGGTGACCATTTTTCTTTAGGCTGGCCCCTGGGAGGGGCTGTGAGCAGCTTCGACTGGAACTTTGTTTGGATTCTGTGTATGTATGTATAATTTATTTGAAATGTGATGGATAAAGTGTTCTCATTTGGGGGCTGAAGTTAGCAACTGGCCCTTGGGCTAGGGGAAGGGGGGTGGGGTGGGGTGGGTATGCACTCCTGCCAAGGACTCCTAGCCCAGAACCCTCCCTAGAGCAGAGAAGGCGCTTTCTCCTCCTCAAGAGGTGGCTTGTTCTCATCCAGAAGGGCCTTGATTTTGGCTATGACCTTGCTTTCCATGACCACCCTAAGAGGAAAGGCTACTTCACCTCATTACCTCCAGAGGGCTGGGCTAGGCCAAGTGCCGAGGGCAGAGTTGTCCTCCCAGGACTCATGTCCCCTCTAGCCAGGGCTGGCACCACTGCTTTGCCTAGCGGGGACTAGGGTAGGAGACTGTGTCTGGTTTCTCCAGATTGCCGGAGGCCAACAGGCAGGACGCTTGCCCTCTGCCCTACTAAACTCTGACACTGCCAGGGTGCCCACCAAGGACCTTTTCGGAATTTTGAGTTCCCTCCACTACCATGATCATAGGTCTCTTCCTTCTGGGATTGAAGATCGGGGCGGGGGGTGGGGGGAGAATGTTGCATGTTGTTTTCTGATGCTTGTTACTACACATTTGAATAAACAGTGCTTCGAAGCATTTGCCAGGAAGGAGCTAAGACTAGAGCCCTTCCAGGGATTTTTTTTTTTTTTCTCTTCTTCCCATTGCTTTAAGTTCTTGCATTTCCGCCAAAACACCATTCCACTCCTCTCCACTCTGCACCCCAAGCAATAGAGTCTGCGTTTCCTCTTTTAGTGGCACCAATTAGTCCAAAGTAACTGAGACTGGTTAGCAAATTTGAGCAAACTCAAAAGGCGAGAGATAGTGGCTTTCACAGTGCTGTTTCCATTTGCTCTCCTAAGCTTCCTGTCAGGAGGTGAGGGCCGCACGCCTTGCCCTTTTAACTACAAAGGTTCTTTCTGAACAAACTTGCACCTCTATCCCCCTTCTGACAAGCGACCCTTACATTCCCTAGAAAAAACACACTTACACATGCTGTTACATTCAATTTCAACAAGTTCCTGGACCATCCCCCCCACCCCATCATCTGTGGTTCTCAGGTTAAGAATCTCTGCTCTCAGAGATTATCTTCACAGGACTTAAACCTTCCCTGGGTGAAAATGAGAAGAAAGTCTGAGGTCTTGAAGTCACAGACCTTGACTTATTTGCCTCCAGTTTGGTTTCCTTTAGCTGAAGGAATGAATATGGGGTGAGCTGTGAGAGTTGAAAAGGGAAAAGAGAACTAGTCTCTCTTTTCTGATGTGATGGGGGGGCAGGCTTTTGTCTCTTGATTGTGGGAGGGTGAGAAGAAATGTTATCAGCTGAGAAGAAGAAAGAGGATGATTAAGGTATTTTCCAGGCCTTAGCAAGGAAAATGACAGATCTGATGAGAAATCTCCCTATGCTGAGGCTCTGGTAGCAGCCTTTCCAGCACAGAAAATATTCATTAGAAAAAGAAGCCAAAGTGATGGATGGAGTCAGGGTCCAGCCAGGGTTTGGGAAGAGGCGGTACAGGGTATCGATCGCAGTTCTCAGGAGGAGAGGAGGATCAGCAGAGATGCTGCAAACACCAGCAGCCTCGGGGCCACCCCAGTTCCGGGGCTGGCTCTGGCTCAGAGATAGCGTTCTGTCATCCTGACAGGTGATCTCGATCAGCTCATCTAGGTCCTCCCAAATCCAGACAACGCCACTCCGGCCCTCTACCCTGCTTCAGGGCACCGTGGGTTTCCCACAGAAGAGACACAACACGAGAGCCGAGGACCCTCCCCCACTCCAACCCTTGTGTCCTTCAGCACATCCTACAGACTCCCTCCCCTTGCCCTTCGGATTCACAGCGCCCACCTCCCTGCACCTACCCTATTCGATCTACAGGGGAGCGAAGTCGCTTCTTGACCGCCAGCCCGGGAAGGGGCGCCAGCCAGCTGGCGAAGGCACGGCTTAGAGGGGTGTCGGGCAGAGAGAGGCTTGGGGCTGGGGTGTGTATGCAGTGGGCTTGGGAGAGCGTGCTGGTAGCACAAAGAACGTGTGCACAAGGGTTAGGAGAGGAGGTCCTGGGGCTTTGGTCTCTTTGCCCTCCGCAATTGTGCATTTTGGAGGGGCTCTTGCTGCAAGCTCCGTAGGCACCGGCAAGTCCCTCCAAGACTACACTTCCCAGAAGGCTATGCGAGAGGGAGAGTGAGGGAAAGACAACCTGTGCTGCGCTTGCGCAAAGAGTGAGCTGGAAAGGTGGGAGGGAGAGGGGAGGCGTGCCCGCGGCGGGGCTAGGGGGAGGGGGCCGCGCGGCGGTGGCGCCGGGGCGGGCGCGCGTCCGCGGCGGTGATGGCGGTGCGTGAACGCGCGGCGGCAGCAATGGCCGCTCTGGAGCGGCGGGTGCCGAGTCTCGATGACTTCGCGGGACAGAGCTGGAGCTCGTGGGTGGAACGGGCCGACCTGCCCGCGGCCGACGGTGAGTGAAGCTCCCCTAGAGTCCGGGGACCCCATCACTGTCTCCCCTCCCCCTCTCCGGGCCCCCGCCTGCAGAGGGGAGCCGCCGACGGGAGCCGCCGTCCGGCTCCCCGGCCCCCCAAACAAAGGACCCGCCGGGTCCTAGTGCCCGCCTGCTCCGTCACCTTCGCGCCTCCGGGTCCTAGCGCCGGCTCACCGCCCGTAGCCCACCCTGCCCACCTCTGCCTCTGCCGGTGCCCAGTACCTGCCCCAACATCTGCTTGCTTTTACCTTTCTCTTCGTCTGCTGTCCTCTAGCTTCCGCCCCTCCTGCACCTGCCTAGGGCTTTCCCCGTCCGCAACAGTCCTCTCCACGTGTTTCCCACGCACCCCACTTCTGTGCCCCCCTCCCAACCCCCCTTGTTCCTTCGCCTTCTGCCCCACACCTCCTGCTCCTTTTCGGCGTTTGCCTGCGGGTTGCAGTGCCACTGGACCCCCGCCCCCTCTGCATTAGTTCGTCGGTCCATCCATCTATCCATCCTCCCTTCCTCCCTCCTTTCGTCCATCCATCCCTCTGTGCCTCCAACCCTCAGTCCTTTCCCGGGCCTCTTGCCCTGCCTCTTGGCTCTCTCCCCTGACCCCTACCTTCTCTAGGCCCCTGAGTGCCTTTGGTAAGCGGGCTGACAGCCCCTTCTGCTGATCTTTGTCTCCTGGGCCCCAGGGGGCACCTGGCCTCGTGGCCTTTGGGGTGACAGCAGGCATCACAGCCCTGAAGAAGTTTGCAAGTGAAGAGGTGGAGGAGGAGACCGCATGGAGCGGTCTCTGATGACACTTGTTCTCCTCAGACATCCCACTCCCAGCTCAGTTCTGCCCATCAGTGCATTTTAACGGACTTAAGAGTGGGAGCTGCCCCTGTCTCTTGCATGCCTAACCCACTACCCCTCATATCTGGAGATTATGTAAGACTGTCAGCGATCTTCTCATCCTAGAAAGGGGCAAATCTGTTAGTAGGCGTTAGAAGCACATCTGAGTGGAAGCCCAGGCCACCCTAGGACTGCCCCATGCTGGGTGGGCAAGGATGGGGCCATTGTCAGGGTCTGGGTGCTCTGAGAACCGGAAATGGAATCAGACGGGTTTGGTGACTCAGAATTGATTTTTTTTTTCCAAGGGACAGGGAGGGGGCATAGAGGAGGGAGGGGAGAGGAGTAAGGTAGGGGGATGGGGGAAAGCTGCTTTGCACAGCTAAGATGTTTTTGTCATCAACCCAGAAACTGAGGTATAAGGGCAACCCTTGCCCAAAGCCCTCCTAAAGAGGGGAGGCGCTTGCATAGATGACCAAAGGGACTTTGAAGATGCCAAAGGACCCCCGAGGCAGCAGTTTCTCTGCTCTGTGACCATCCTGTCAATGCAGGACCTGAGAAGCTGGGTGTAACTTTGTCAGTACCACGGTAACCCAGGTGGAAGAAAATCGCATTCATGGGGTTGGGGACCTGGGAGATATCTGTTTGGTGCGGCACAGAGTAGCAGGAAGGACCCATCTGAGAAATCTCAAGAAGGGACTTGGAGATTTATAGTAAAACATGCTAAGGATTGTTTCCCATTTAAATGGGGAAGCGGGCCCAGAAAAGAGATCATATGTATTCACAATCACCCAGCTACTCAGCAGTGGAACCCCAAATTGTGCCTTGGAGTGGAGAGTCCATAAGAAAGGTGGCAGGATCCTTCCTAAGGGGGTCAGCTCATTCCAGAGGTAGCAACTGAAGGAAGAGTGGGCACTTGAGAATGACCCCTGAAAGGCTCTCCAAGGGGTCCTGAGCACCGGGAGCTTGTTAGAGAGCGTAGGCTTCCTACTCCTTGGCTGCTAGCGCTGGTTGGGTGGGGGACGGGCTTCCTGGGGCGGGGGTGGTCCTTCTAAACTGTGTTTCTCCTCCAGGGGCTGAGGTGGAGGAGAGTAACAAAAACACGAAGAAGTTGGATGCCATGACCCTCATTAAAGAAGGTGCGAGTTGACATGTGTTAGGGCTGGGGCCTAGGGCAGACAGGACCACCTTCCTCTCTTTCAACATATCCCAAGAGGTGGCTGCTTGAAGCAGCAGGTCTGGGGATCCTCGCTTTCCTGGGTCTGAGTCAGCCCATTCCCCTGCCTCCTGTGACCCGTTGTGGGAGATCCTAATCTTAGGTGATTGGGCTCACTCACCTGACAGCCTGCGTTCTTAGGTTGAGCTCTAGAAGCTGAGACCAGGCAGCATAAAGCCTGTCAAGTCAGCTGGGGAGGGGGAAGTGTCTTCTGAGTTGGGGGGGCGGGGTGCTGCCTGATCTTACAGGGAAACCCCGGGATCCCCAGCCCCAGTGATGAGGGCTTCTGTCATTGCAGACATGTCCATCTTCGGGCACTGCCCTGCCCATGACGACTTCTATTTGGTTGTGTGTAACCACTGCAGCCAAGTGGTGAAGCCTCAAGCTTTCCAGAAGCACTGCGGTGAGGGGAGCCCTAGGGAGGAGATAGAGGGGACCGGGGAAGGTGGACTGTGGAACTCTGAGGACAGGGTCAGTCAGGAGGTCATGTGCGTCGTGGGGGGAGGCCTCGGGGATCGGAAGGTCCTGGGGGCGGCTTCAGAGGACTGTGCCGGGTCAGAATGATTGTTTGAGCAAAATTCTAGCATCTAGTGAAATGAGGGGAAGAGCAAAGAGGTTCAGGAAGCCAAGTCCTAATTTTGAGTCTGGAAGGCTCAGATTCAAGTGGGAAAATGGCAAATTTAGAATCTCAGGCTTGGGAAATTGCAGATTTTGGTATTGTGAGTCTGTGAGCAGGGTCAGGAGGTGGGGGAAGGAGGCAGTTAATACCACTCACCTCGATTACTCTCTCCACCTCCTGGTGACAGAAAGAAGACATGGGCCCCTCAGCAAGCTTTACGCCCGGGCCCCACCCCCACCTCCAGCCCCTGCCAGCTCTCAGAAATGCCATGTAGTGAATGGGCAGGGCCCAGCTTGTAGGGCCCCAGGTTCCACCAAAACCTCCTCCAGGGAGAAGGGCCAGGGGTCCCGGAGCCGTGGCCACCCGCCTCCTGAGAAGACACAGAAGGACAACCTCTGGTAAGGAGAGGCTGGAGACTCCCTGAGACCAGCCTTGACCCTGACCCTAGCCCAGGGAGGCGTTAACACAAATGGAGACAGCTGTGGGGCAATGGGCCCTGCTCACAGCAGAAGGCAGCCACGCTCTCTGCAGCTCCCTTCCATGTGATCCAGGGAATATGGGGTGCCCTTTCGCCACGTCCTGCACCCCTGCTGGAGCCCACCCAAGTTCCAGGGCTGGGAAGGAGGTGGCTCTGGGCTAGAGTCCAGGGCCCAGGCCCAGCCCCCCGCCCCCCAGCCCACACCCTCTCTCCATGTGTAGCCTTTTCGTACCTGTGGTGAATTTGGAGAAGATGTCCAGTCTCCCGAAGCCCGACGGACATGGAATCAGGCTGGCCCCGCCCTCTGCTCTCCTCAGCCAGCCTGCTGGCCTCACCAAGGACTCCCCGGGAAAAAACCCCACGGCACCCCCTTCTAAAGAACCTCCAGGGAGAGAGAGCATCGAGATGACCCCCAGCGAGGGCCCCAGTCACCGGGCTGAAGGCAGTCCCCCTGAAAAGGAGCCTGGTGGGGCCAGGCTGCCCCCCAAAACCCACCGGAAGATGGCCCGTGAGTAGTCATGTGGTCTTGGGGGTCAGGAAGGTAGAGTGGGGGACCCCTTTGGACAGCTTGGTCCTTGGGCCCGAAGGAGAGGGGTCAGGAAGGAGTGGGCCTGGCCGTCCCTGGTTGCCAGGGTACCAGAGCCCCTGGTCACTGCTTGACGTGGACATACCCTTGAACTCCTTGCTTTCTAGGAAGCTTCTCTCCAGCCCAGGTCTCCTGGTCAAGGCTAAGGGAGCTTATGCCCAAGCAGGTGAAGGTATTCTTCCTCACCCGGGGCTGTTGACCTTTATCTCTCCTCTCACCTAGTTCCAGGGCACCAGACCCCCCACTGCTGGTTTCCCTGGCATCCCAGCCTGTGGCTGCCTTTGTGCCATGATCTGTGTTGCCCTGTTTTGGACTTGAAATCGCCAAAAGGAGTGCCTGGGCCCGGAAGGGGGGGCGGGGATGGTTCTTGTGCCTCTGCAGCAGAGGGTTTCTGATGCCCAGAGGAGTTTCTCTGGAAGGCTGCAGCCCCGGACTTGAAGGCCAGAGGTTCTTCTGTCGTAGGCCCAGCTCTTGCCAGGCCTTCCCTTGGGCCTCCTGGAAATGGCCTTGGGGTTCACGCGAACGATTTTCCCCACAGGGAAGGAGTGTGACCTCAACAGGCAGTGTGGGGTAATAAACCCAGAGACCAAAAAGATCTGCACTCGCCTGCTGACCTGCAAGGTAATCTCAGTCCCACGCACAGTGACGGAGGACAGCACAGACACGGGGCCTGGGCGAGGAGGGAAACTGCAGTGTTACCCAAGATTCAGCTCGGGGTGGGGGTGAAGCCCGGGTGAGGCAAGGGCAGAGGAGGCTGCCCCCAGTGGGCCTAGGCTGGGAGCAGGCGGCAGACTGCCCCACTCCAAAGGAAGGTTCTGAGCCTGTGGGGGGAGTGAAACAAAGACACACAGATACACCTACAAACACACTCACGCCCCCTCTCTCCGTTTGCCCAGGCCAGCGCACACTGCTGCCCCTCACTCCTGCTCAGCTCACACCCCCTCCCCGCCCCTCACCCTGCTCTATTCTAGATCCACTCGGTGCACCAGCGCCGGGAGGTCCAGGGCCGAGCCAAGGACTTTGACGTGCTAGTGGCAGAGCTGAAGGCCAATTCCCGCAAAGGGGAGTCTCCCAAAGAGAAGAGCCCAGGGCGCAAGGAGCCCACCCTTGAGCGCCCCTCCCAGGAGCCCCCCTCCTCAGTCCAGGTTGTGGCAGCGGCCGCCCCCAGCAGCACCTTCTCTGCTCGCGCCAAGCAGACCTACCCGTACTGTGCACTGCCCAGGTACGTCCAGGGTCCAGTCCCCCACCTGGGGGCACCTGGTCCCAAGCCATCAGGGACCCCGGGAGACAGGCCCAGGGAGTCTCACTCCGCCCCGAGCTGGGGGATAGCCGGGGCCCCTGGCAGTGGTGCGGAAGTAGGTGACTCCCTGCTCCTACCGCAGCACAGCACCGCCGTGCCTCAGCCTCTCCCTAGGGTGCCGGTTCCACTGCCTGGGGTAAAAACCTTGGCCCAGCTGCTTCTCACAGGCCAGAACTTGTCCCGGGGGAACTGAAAGGGTCAGGGTCCTGCGTGAGGCAGTCGTACTGTGCATTCATTCACTGGCCCCTTCGGGTGCAGAGGCTGCGCTGGAGCCCAGGGAGAGCCCACCTTGCTGAAGGAGACACACACGCATGTCTGCCTGTAACACAAGGGGCAGACCCGAAACAGGCTCAGCTCACAGGCAGGCTCACAGGAATATGTGATGCGAGAAGGGGGTTGAGGGAATTGACTGGGCTGACCAGAGCTAGGGGCAGTTAAACTCAGAAGATTTTCTGGAGGTGGCGAATCTGGAGCAGATTTCTCCCCGAGGAGGCAGGGCCTGGGAAATGAAGGGGCTGGGGAGAGGATCCCTTGGGAGCTGTGGCCCCTGACCTTTCTAGGCTCTTACTCTGTGAGCTCTGTTGTTCGTCCCTTGCTGTCCTCCTTCCTCTTTGTCTCCTTGTTCAGCAGGGGGTCTGCCCTGGCTTTCTGGAGCTTGGCGGGTTCAGGGACACCCCCACCCTGACCCACTCCGGTCTCCTTGCCCTCACATCCCCTTTGGCCCTTCCAGGTCCCGGGCCTCCTCTGAGAGTGAGTTGGATGATGAAGGCCCCTGTGGTGGTGATGGGGACCCAGGCCTGTTCCCCTTTCCCCTGCCCCGGGGTGGGGCCCAGGCCTCCAGCGAGGAGAGTGAGGAGGAAGGGACATCTGAGGACCTCCATCTCCCCCCTGACTGCCATTATGCAACCCGGCCCCCGCGGCCACAGGCGGTAAGGACCTGGGGCAGGGACCTGGGGTGGGGGGTGGCCCAGCCCTCCTGGCCCACAGATCCTTTGCGCAGGAGCCCTCCTGCCTCCCAGGCCCCACTAACCGTGGCCCTTCCTTCTGCCTCTAGTTCTGCACCTTTGGGAGCCGGCTGGTGAGTCCAGGATGCTACGTGTTTAGCCGCCGGCTGGACCGGTTCTGCTCAGCACTGAGCTCCATGCTGGAACGGCACCTCAGCTCACACATGTGGAAGTGAGTCTTTTGGGCCTGGAACTGCCCTTTTTAGACCCCGGGCCCCGGACATCCATGGGCTTCAGAAGCTCTCATTCTTCTCACCTACCCATAGATGCGGTTCGGCTGTTTGGCAAGACCCCAGATAGAATGAAGAGGACGTGGGGGAACTTGACAGCCTGAGGCTGGGCCGAGGCAGGGCAGGAGTGGGTGGTGTGGGAGTGAAGCCCGGCTCTTATCCGTCACTTCCAGTACCTTTTGGGTAACTAGGGATAGGAGATGCCGAAACTGAAGTTTGAAATGAGATTCTGAGTGGGCCTAGATACTCGTTCATTCCTGCCTACCCGAGTGCTCTCTTCCTAAGCGTCAGTTCCAGTGTCTCCCAGCAGATGGCGGCAAGGCCGGGGCTCTGTGGGCCATTTCTAGGTGGGGCAGAGAGCCGGGTGGAGGTTGGTGGGGAGGTCCTCCTGTTTGCCTGGCGTCACAGCCGAGCTCTCTTTTTACTGCAGGAAGATCCCACCGGCGGCTGAGCCTCCATCCCACCTTGTCAGCTCCCCGCTCTCTGCTCCCCTGAGCCCATCCTCTACGGGCAGCTGCCCGCGCCTTCCAGGCCCACCCCCCCGACCCGCCTGCCCGGCCTCCACGCCCCCCGCCAAGGACAGCCTTGTCCCCAGCTACCCTGCAGGTTCTCCCAGCGTGGCAGCGGCTTGCAGCCAGGCGGAGTGTATGGGCGGGAGCCAGGCCATCACCTCACCCCTGCCTGCCAACACGCCATCCCCATCCTTCAGCAGACTCCCGCCTTCGAAGGCCAGCAAGTCGTCCAAAGGCAAGGACGGGGTTGAGGTGGAGGCCCCTTCTCGAAAGCGAAAGTTATCCCCGGGCCCTACCACTTTCAAACGGACCTGCATCCTGGAGCCCTCTGGAAAAGGCAAACCCTCTAGCTGCCGGGGCCTCTCGGCCAAGACTAAAACAGCCCTGGGCCTGGGGCTTAATGGGACGGTGGGGCCAAGAGTGAAGCGGGCAGGGCCTCTGGACTGTCGGGGCTCCCCTCATCAGCCCCCCACACCCGTCAAGGCTTCTCAGCTGGACAACCGGGGAGCAGCTGGACACCCAGCCAAGGCCCTGTCCACCAACTGCCTCTCTGAGGAGGAGGTAGCTAAGAAGCGGAAAAACCTGGCTACTTACTGCCGGCCGGTGAAGGCCAAGCACTGCCAGGCCGGTGGCCCTGCCGATGCGGCCTGCTCCGTGCGCCGCAAGAAGCCGGGGCCTGCCATGGCCTTTGAGGAGAAGTGTTCTACACTGAAGGTACCAGCCCAGCTCCCTGAAGAGCACGGGCAGGGAGAGATCAGGATGGACGAGGGTAGAACGCACAGTGGGCACCTGGCACAGAGAAGGTGCTAAGTAAACGTTTGTGCGGGGAAGGGATTCTGAAAGGGGAAGTTGAGAGAGTTCTTGGGCTGTCTTTTCTAGGGAGAGGTGGGTCAGCTCTTTGAAAGGTGATCTAGCTTTTGCTTGATGGGCCTTCCGCTAGCTCTCCCTTGAGCTGAGGAGATGCTACCTCTCCCCTGCCCCCACATCTGCTTCTGTTTCAATGAAAGGGCCACTTTCTGACCCCTCACACCAGGAACTGAAGCTACCTCTGTGCCCTGAAGGAAAGGAAGTTGGACTTCATGAACTCTGATGGGGAAAGGTTTGGGCAGCGGGGTTGAGCTTGGGTCCCTGAGCCGTGGCCTGATATGCTGGGCGGCGGGGTGGGCGGGCTGGTCTTGTTCATGGGTTCTGCCTCTGGGCATCAGGGCCTGGAAGGGCAGGGACACCACGCGAGGTCCATGTATGCATAGGTGCCCACTTCCAGGATTTCAGGTGCCAGGCAAGTCCTCCAGGGTTTCTGGGAAAGCCAGCAGCCAGGTTTCTGTGCCTCTTCTGACAGGAGCCCTGGAGTAGCACACTCTGGGCTGTCCAGAGGATCTCAGCCAGGAGGGACTTACCGGCGGTGAGAAGGGGGCTGCTTTTCCGCTGTAGGCACGGGCCAGATGCATACCCACTCCTCTGGCACCCATACGAGAGTAGTGAGTTGGACAGTGCCCTCACGTGTGTGCGCGTGCGCACGGATGTTCTCAGGCTGTCCCCGCTTGGCTGGCATTCATCTTTCCCCTCGTCCAGCGTTCGTCACCAGCCCAGCCAGGAGGAAAGCAAACTTTAGCTCTAATGGTGCACACAGTTCACTGGGTGCCCCTAGCCTGACCGTGTCTCTTGCCTCTTGTCTTCCTGCAGTCTAAAGCCCATTAACAAGAAAGTGCCTGCCCACTGCGACGGAGCCGTCAGCACCTCCTCCCCTCCAGATCTGGGCCCCAGGCTGCGGCCGCTTTTTATAACTTTATATTATTTTTTTTAAGAAAAAAAACTCTTTAAAATACCTCAAGACTGTCTCCCTGTTCTGTTGCTGCTAAGAAAATGTAAAAACAGAAACATAGAAAAGGAAGGAAAAAGATGTAATAAAATGAGTGTCCTTGCTGTCCCCATCCGCACCCCAGGAGGCAGAGATGATAGGCAGTCAGACTCCAGCTCCCGGCACTTGCTCATGTATTTTTGTCCTTTTAAATGGTGTGGGAATGGCTGGGGTTTGTGTCATGGTGGAGTCTCCTCTCCAGAGAGGATGATGAGGCATATCGCTCTGAGTGAGCAAGGCTCGCCAGAATCTTTATCCCAGAGATGACTCCGGTCCCGTTGGGAAGGGAAACTGGATGGGGGCAAGGGAGCCACTCCTCTGGCTCTCCTCTCAGGTCTTTGGAGGGTCTGTGGGAGTTCGCCCGGGCCCTTTTCCAGTCTTCCAGCAACGCTGGGCCTCCATCCTCTCTCTGAACTCAGTCTCTTCAGCTGATCCTGCCCTTGCCGCCTCGCCCTAGCAGCCTTATTTTCTCAACTACGGGGGGAGCTCGATTTGAGTTGGTAACTGCTCTCAGGATGTCCGTGATTTCTGTGGGACAGCCTGTTTTGGTCCCTGTCCCTGGCCTGTGGGTTTGCTCCAGGTAGGCCTCCTTAAGCTGAACCACACCTCTCTGGAGGCAGAAAGGGGAAAGGTATGATCACTTAGAAAACTTCTGGTGTGGGAAGCAGCAGGAATGTGGGAGGTTCTGGTCCCTCAGGGTCACCTGGCTCCCCAGGGCCGAGCAGATGGTGTGGAGGTGGGAAGGGCTAGCAGTGCCCTGGTTCTTCCATTTATCCCACTGGAGGCTGGTGTGCCGATAGGGGTGACACTTGCCTCTCCCTCCTTGGGTCCTCAAACCTGAACTCACCAGGCACGGGCCCTAGTTTTTGGCCTGGTCCTTACTTTCCAGTGCCCTTGCTTTTAGGCAGGGAGGACTCTTAACTCCCTTAACAAGACGGAGGAAGGGATGGCAGGAGGGTGTGGGCAGCCCGAGAAATCCAGTGTTTCTGGAAGGCGGTTCCAAGCGCTGGTTTCACACTCTTGGTTCAGTGCACGGAGTTTGTGATTGGGGTTTGGGGGAAATCCGTTGCCATAAGTGTGATTTCCACAGGCTACTTGAGACGTAAGCCCTTGTGGCCATAAAGATTACAAATGAGGTTGACCGAAGAAACCAGGCTGGCCGCCCCGCTGTCTACTTCCCTTCGGCCCCCGGGGCTCTCCAGGGCCGACGCGCTTTCCCCCCAGCCCCCAGGGGGCGCTGTGGGCAAGGCCGCCGTACTGGCGGCGGCGGCCGGGGGAGGGGCTTCTCCCGCCGCTGCGGCCGCCTCCAAGATCGCAAACCCGGAAGGCGCGCTCCAGCAGCGGGGAGTGTGCGCCGGCCCGGCCCGGCCATGCAGCCCCTGGCGGTAGGTCTGGTTCCCGCTCCGGCGAGGGAGCCGAGACTGACCCTCTGGCTGCGGACAGGGAGTGGGATCTTGGCGCACCTGGTGGCTTTAGGCTTCACCATCTTTATGGCTGTGTTGTCCCGGCCAGGAACCAGTGAGTGTGCAAGGCGGGGCGGGGCCAGGGAAGGGGGCGGAGCCGGGATATGCTGGAGGAGCGTCGCTGGGAACGCTCCGAGATCTGGAGTGGGGACGCTCCCCCGCCTCAGTGGAGGGGCGAGCTGTGGAGGGGTAGTAACGGCGAGATGGGGCGGGCCCCGGGAGGTGGGTCCTGGAAGGGTGGGGCTTTGGGCGCGGGGGTGGGAAGGCAGACACTCAGTTGAACTCACCAGTTCATCAGAAGCGGAGCCCCGCGTGGAGGATACAAGTAAAGGAGGCCAAGGTCCATTCTAGGACTGGGCTGACAGCTGCGAGCTGCCGGATGGGGAACCCAGGCCAGACGGGTGTGCCCCCTTGGTTGCTCACCTTAAGCCCCATTGGCTGCTCCGCTTTGCACGGAGTTCCTGATTCGGGCTGGGAATGGTACACTGGACTGTCCCCTGTAGCCGGATTCTTTGGGCTCCAGCCAGCCACAGGGGCAGAAACATGGTGCCCAGCCGTCAGTCTGTTCTCTTTGATTCTTAGGTCTTTTCTCCTGGCACCCTGTATTCATGGCCTTGGCGGTGAGTTTGGGCTTCTTTTCTGCAGCCGATTTGTTTGGAAATGCCCCCTAGGGAAGCATCCAGCCTTGGAAGGCTCAGCCCTTCTAAGGCTCAGAGAGGTGGGGGAAAGAGCAAGGGCCCCATCTTCCCCTGCAACCTAATTGGGAGACATGGCAGACTGGGCTGTAGTTAGTGTCAGGTGGTTGAGGGGGGTTGGGAGGGTATGGAAGATGTGTCTTTCTCCCCTAGGGTCTGCAAGGAGGAAGTAGAAGTGGTGCTATCCAGGCACCCACCCCCAACTCCCTTCCCCCCCCCCCCCGCAAAAGTTCAGGAGGCAGTTTAACATTTGCTAAAGATTTGCTTAACATTGGGCAAGAAATGGGGAGTCATCATTGCCTGTGGAGGAGGTAGGCATGGAGGTCAGCCTGAATGATAAGACTTCCACTCAAGTGTTGATTCCCACTTGTGCCCAGAAGTGCTGACTTGTGAGGCAGGAGGTCCTGGTGGGAGATCCTTAGCCTCCACCCTTTGTCGTCCCTGTTTAGATGTGTGAGGGTACCTCCTTTTTCTTAGGCCTCCACGCTGGGCCTGAGGCTCACTGGCCCTCTCCTGTGTTCACAGTTCTGCCTCTGCATGGCTGAGGCCATCCTGCTCTTCTCGCCTGAACACTCCCTGTTCTTCTTCTGCTCCCGAAAAGCCCGGATCCGACTCCACTGGGCAGGGCAGACCCTAGCCATCCTCTGTGCAGCCCTGGGCCTGGGCTTCATCGTCTTCAGCAGGACCCGCAGTGAGCTGCCCCACCTGGTGTCCTGGCACAGCTGGGTCGGGGCTCTGACACTGCTCGCCACTAGTGGTCAGGCACTGTGTGGGTTCTGTCTCCTGTGTCCTCGAGCAGCCAGGGTCTCAAGGGTGGCTCGCCTCAAGCTCTACCATCTGACTTGTGGACTGGTGGTCTACCTGATGGCTACAGTAACGGTGCTCCTGGGCATGTACTCGGTGTGGTTCCAGGCCCAGATCAAAGGCACAGCCTGGTACCTGTGCCTGGCACTGCCCCTCTATCCGGCCCTGGTGATCATGCACCAGATCTCCAGCTCCTACTTGCCAAAGAAGAAAATGGAAATGTGAGTTCCTGCGAACTCTGAATGTAGGTGGGACACTTGCCTCGGACTTAAATGTTCCCTTTGGTGACCTTCAGGGGATCCATTTCAGAAGTGGTAGGGTTTTTGTACTTAGCTGGGCCAAGGGCTGCAGAAACCCAAATTGCTATTTCTGATGACTACTCAGTGGGCTGAAATGGGGAAGTATACTGGGTGCATTGGAAGGTGATGGGGGTGGGGTGCTTGATCCTGAAGCCTCCACTCTTGATGGGAGACGGAAGTGTTGGGTGGTGGTGGTGATGGTGTTCGCAGTCATTTCTTGCCTGTGTACCCGATGGAGAATTGGGTTCTGGTAACTTATGAATGACAGCAGTGGTTTTTGGGGTCTTCAGGAGAGCAGTGTGGAGAGAGACCCTGGGTTATGGTTCCTGTAGGATCTATTGGGCAACCTTAGGCAAGTCACGTGTCTCGGGACCAGTTTCTGCATCTGTGTCATGGATGTGTTTCTAAACAATCTCCAACATTCAGTGTCTATCAGGTTGATGCCACAGAACACACTCCCCGCTCTGGACCATGGGCTGGACCACTAAGCCGACTCAGGACGTCATTCCCTCTGCAGGGACAGGTCTGCTCTCGTGGCCTTCCAGGAATCTGCCGATTGGGCTCCTGGACTAGGGCACAGGGGGTCAGGCACTGTGGAGAGAAGAGTCCCAGATAGGCTCTCTTGAACTCCAAGACAATTAAAAGCACTAAAGTCACTTTAAAGCTTTTGTAGGAACACAAGGGCATTGGCATCAGCAAGGCTCTGGCTCCTGGCTGGGCTTCTTAGCTCAGTTAAGAACGTCCTTCAGCTCACCTCAGAATCTGGGCTTGAGGGCTGCAGGACATGAGCGAGCGCCTTTCCCTGCCAGGCATTCTGAGCAGTACAGTAGTCCTGAGCATCTCCTAGCCCTTCCTAAGGCTCGGGTACTTGCCCTAGCACATAGCTTTGTGGAGGTAATCCAAAGCTTTTAGAACAAAATGAGAGCTAGGAAATGGGGTAGGGCTTTTCTGATCTAGGAAAAACAAAGTCTCCCTGGTTCCCCTTCTCAGCTAAGCTCTTCTCAGTTGCTGTCTCTTGCCAGCTCTTCGGCCCAGGATGGGGCTGAGTGTGGCGCCAGCTGGCAAAAAAAGGGCTGGGCCCTCTTCCCTGCAGAAACCCCTCCTTGTTCCAAACTGAAGGTAGTTCCCCAGACTGCCCTTAGTGGTGAGCTGGGTGCCAGACTGGTTAATAGTGGTCTGGCTCGGTCAGGGTAGGGGGGCGGGGGTGGGGGTGGGGATGGGACCTCCATAGATCATGGCAAGGACTGAAGACAGCCACGCCAGGAAAGCTGGTGTTGAGGCAGGTAGACAGCTCAGTGGAAGCTCTGGGAGGCCTGGGTGTAGGGGCTGGAGCCGCAGGTCCCGGGAGCAGGGCAGGTGTTCCTAGAAGGCAGTAATTTAGATGCCCCAGGTCTTCCTAAGATTTAAGACCTCCCTCTCTGAGTGGTTCAGAAGCAAGGAGACTGGTATGGTTTAACAATCCAGGCATGGGGACTGCAAGGGCAGAAGTGTCCTCTGAGTGGATCTCTGGGGGGGGGGGGTCTCTGCTCTTCAGAGGGTGATTATTCCTGTCTCCTTGCCTTCTCTCTCCTCTCAGACTACCCAGTGTGGTCTGAACTTGGAAGAGATGGTTCCCGGCGCCGCGTGAAGGACATTCTTACCTAGGATCACTTTGCTCGGGGACTCCATCTCCTCTCCCCCCGTCACAGCCAGTCTGGGAGTCTCACTGTCTCCAGCAGGGTGACAGGGCGGGGTGAGGTTCACCAGCTTCCACGAGCCAAGCAGCCAGGGCCCCAAAGCCTGAGCCTGCCTGAGGTGTTGCCTGCTCCCAGGTGGTGCGGGGGCTGCCGGGCGGGCTGACAGCCGGCATTCTGCGGGGGCTGTGCCAGCTGATGTCTATTCCCAGCCCTCGGAGGAAGGGGGAAGTCATTTATATTCTGCAGGAGGAAGGGGCCCCAGCTGGCACCTCTCTGACCAGGAGGCCTGTAGGGCAGGGGCACAGGGCCGAGAGGAGGGCACAGGTCGTCTTCTGCGGAGCCTGTCTGACTGCAGTATGGGGAGTAGGTCACCAGGAGGAGCCCTTCTTCCCCCGCGGCCAGACTGTTGGGGGGTACTTCCGGCCCCCCTCCTCTGTGTCTCCCTCCATCGCCACCTGCCCTCACATCCTGGGGCAGCAGCTGGACAACCATTAGACCTCAGTGCCAGGGCACTCTTCCTCCCACTGGGAGCTGGGTGGCTGGCTGCCTGCTGCATGCACCTCCTGCTCGTGTGCATTTCCTCCTCCCTAGGCCCTCTGGTCCCCCCAGCTGTCTGTATCTCTCCATCTGGGATGTTAGCTGGGCACCTCGGCAGTGAGGCAGAGGCCTTGCGGGGAGGAAGCAAATGGCTGCCCTTTTGCCCTTGTTCCCTGGCTAGGGAAAGATGCTGGTAGTCAGCCTGTTTTGCCTTAAAAAAAAAAAAAAAAGAAAGCGGGGTGCTCAAATTAAAAAAATGCATGTCATTTGCACAAATTTGCATATCAGGCTCACTAAGACTTGATTCCAAATATGATTATATTTCAGACTCAACCTTGAGGACATTAGAAATGTAGATGTTTTTTGTAACCAAATCCAAATGGTAACAGGATTACTGTTCTGGGTTCAGACCCCCCCCCCCCTCCGGCCAGTAACCACCTCTTCCCTGGAGCCCCACCCGGGCTGGGGTTGGTGTTGAATGGCAGGAGCTGTGTGTCTGGGGAAGCCTTCCAGCCTCACCTTGGCTGTTGAGCGGCGTCGAAGGTAAGCTGCTGTCCCTTGCCAGCCTGTTCCTCCTCTCCCTACCGGCCCCCAGGGCAGACTGCCCCTCCCAGTCCCTGACACTCCACCCTTCCACCCCCGTGCGTGGCTGCTCTGGGTCTTGTTTTTCAAACCTCACTGTGGGAGATCCAGGCATCCTCCGTGAGCCAGCTGGCTGCGGCACCAAGGCCTGCTCAGAGTTAATAATAATCATTAGCTTCACAGCGCTGGGGCCTTTCAGCTCCAGAGCTCTAGGCACTTGCAGGCGGAGTCAGCCAGCCCTCACCTTCCCCCTCCTCCTGGGCTGCTGGAGTGTAATGGAATGGGGAGAGGAGGGGGGTCAGAGGCTCACTTCCCAGCTGAGGCTTGAGGCTTCTTTGCTCTGGGCGTGGGCCCTGAGCACCCTCTGAGTACATTGCTAAGGCCTTTTCACCTGACAAAGATCAAGACGTGGGGATCGGGGCGCCTGGGTGGCCCAGTTGGTTAAGCGACTGCCTTCGGCCCAGGTCATGATCCTGGAGTCCCAGGATCGAGTCCCGCATCGGGCTCCCTGATCAGCGGGGAGTCTGCTTCTCCCTCTGACCCTCCCCCGTCTCATGCTCTATCTCATTCTCTCTCTCAAATAAATAAATAAAATCTTAAAAAAAAGACGTGGGGAGCACAGTGTAGGCTCCTCTAGGCATGCTGCCCTTCCCTCTGTTACCTGTCTTGACTTTCAGAGGACACCCCTGGTCCTGATGCCCCAATCTCAGCATTTCTGGGGGCCCTCTGCAGGCTTAGGGAGCAGGGAGGCTTCTGGGTTAGTGCTCTGTTGTCCCTGTGTCTGGTTGACATAAGAACCGGTGTCTCAGGCAGCAAAAAGTGCATTGACCCAGGAGCCAGGAAAGCCGCAGTCGGTCTGTTCGGCTCCCAACAATGGTGTGGCCAGAGGCAAATGGCTCACTGCTCCACCTGCCTCAGGGATGTTGGGTCAGAGCAGAGAATTTATGTTAACAGGCATTGGAAAGTCCAAAGCATTAAACAAATGGAAACAGGTGTGTTTACAAGTATGTCCTTGTCCTTGACTCTCTTTTAATTGGCCTGGCTCTGGGTTTAATGCTGTTTTTAGGGAGGCAATCAACGGTTATGGATAATGATGCCAAGGGGACCCAAGTCTCAGAGATTGTGTTGTTGGCCATGGTAAGGGAACACACACACACACACACACATTTCCTCCTCCTAGATGCAAGATCAGCTGTCGTGCACTCCGGTCAGGAATGCCACCAAGGTTATGAGCCTAGCGAAGCCCGCCCTAAGTGCTGCCTGCCTGGTGGTTTCAGGGCATGGGGCTGATTGTAAATCTGGAAATCAGTGCACTTGTCCCCTCGTCCAGCCTGAAGTTCCTGGACCAGGTCACAAGTCTGTCTACATCTCTCCTACCTAATTCTGCGCTTTTGAAGGAAAAGTGCAGCAGACAAGCCAGGAAGGCAGGAGCAACAGTAATGGACACGACACTGCCCCCCCCCCCCCCGCCACGCCAGTTTCCCCTGTAGCCCCAGGCTGAGCAAGGCCTGCCTCAGGCCCTCATAACAGGTGCTGGAGATGCAGAGCTGTGACACGTGTAGCTTGGTCACAGGCTCCTCGAGGAGGATCAGAGTCCCCTCCTCCTTACAGGATTTTATAGGAATTAAAACACACTTACCCACCCCCCCCAGGAAAGCAGTTCTACTTCCATGTTAAATTAGGGGAAGGATACTTTCTGTTCCATGTGTCTTGAGAACTGCCAGCAGTTGGCCTGGGGTGCACACACACAGGCAGGAACCACAGCAGTGCAAAGCTGTGTATTGTGTATTCAGGTTTTTATCTTGTTTTTTCCCCAACCTGGGATCCAGCAGTGAGACACCGGTCAGGTGTTGTGGGCGTAGCCCCGGCATGTCTCACCAGCGCAGGCATGGGGAAGACATAGGTGACAATGCAGAACTACAGGCCCCAGACTTGAGGGTGGTTTGAAGGAGACAGTTCTTAGCATGGGGCTAAGCTTAAAGCAGACCCAAAATACCTCCAGTAAGACAGCCTTCCCCCACCCATCCGCCCAGAAGGCTTGGCTAGTCCCCAGTGTACAGGGAATAAGAGCCCCAGTTTTTAATCTACCCATTATCGTCAGAATTTCCCAGATGATTTTTTTAATCTCCGCTAAAAGATTAAATAGCTACTTCAGGCCATTCTGTGGTACCAGAGGATTCAACTCTTTGTCTCACTGAGTATGCATGAGGGGCCCCCAGCACCCTCTCTTTAAAGCAGACTGTGAGTTATCTCGCTGTGCTGAGGATGCCCAGGACTGAGCTGGGCCTTTCTGGCTCGACCCCACCAAAAGCAAAGTATGGCCAAGCAAGGGAGCAGTGGGAGGTGAGGGGAAAGCAGCACCAAGTTATGTCCAGCTACAGTGCTCCTTCACCCTGTGTGCATGTTTGTGCACAGACACACATGTGCATACA